CTTTTTAAAACTGTTTTATTGTAAGTGCATCCAGAGACTTGGGCAGTGGACGTACGCTTTTATAAATGAGATTATAAATAATTTCCCTGACCTTTTTGGCTTAACCTCACTCCTCAATCTTCTCTACATTAACAGCCACCGATTTGCCCCTGCTCTGTCTATCTAGCCCACACTAAATTTGATCCTTTATTTACTTCCCTCCTTCACCCAAACCTGTTAGCAAATTATCACCTACAGAAAGTACACATTCCTTTCTAGACTGCTGTTGGGCATGCCTCAAGCTACTCCTTTATCCATTCAAGAATTTTGTGCTTTCTAGTATACTTACTAACCTTGTATGTCAGCCTTTTGTATAATAGCATTCCCAAAGCCTGGGTAAATTGTTCATGGCTTTCCCACTCTGTTACTTCAGGTTTATTGGGGTATAAACCTCCTTTTTGTGAATCTGTGATTCTTGTTCTTTGGACTTGAACATTCTAGTTATTTTCTGCCACTCCCCATTCTATTGTAGTTTAATGTTTTTAGTTAACTATTTAGTTTAACTTTTTTCCCTCCCCTAAAGTGAAATGTGCAAGTAACTTTGTATCTTCCCCAGATATGTTCTTAAATATCAGTGGTCTCTAGTCCACTAACACTTTCTATTCCAATGTGACTTAAATAGATGTACTAAAGAGTAGGAATATAATACGAGATGAGCAAACATGAGCTTCATGTGAATGGAAAATTCCAGCGCATTTGTTGTATGTGGTGCTCGTGCATCTGAATTAAATTCTCATCTTTCAAGCTTCCCTTTCTCTCACGTCTCTTCTGAAATCTTGTGTGAATGCCATGGGACCTTGGAAACAGTAATTCTTTAATTCAGGGGTTCTTCTGCTTTTAATAATATATCCCACATTTTAGTGTCTCGGGGGCCATCTCTCCAGCACTTGTGTTTGCATGGACTGTCTCCTCACCCTCTTTAGTTTAACCTAAAATCACTGTGGCAGCTACTGCACCTTTTTCAGCGAAAACAGTAGTAGGAGAGGGTCTAACTTATTTTAGCAGTTACTAATATTTGCATTTGTCGTAGTTTCAAAACTAGTCTCACTGTATTTCCACTGCCCATCATGTCCTTTCCGTACCTCTGTTCCTTTTATCCCCACCCCACCCCTTGCTCTACAATTCTGGTTATCTGTTCCCCTTCTACAGATTCACTCCTCCCATTTAAAAAAGTTTCCCAGTTGCCTGATTATTTTCCCTGCTGCTTGGTTTTCCTGTTCCCTTGCATGTGTTGCCCCACTTTTTAGTTCTGTTCTTCCACGCATTCCTTTTCCCAGTGGTGACTCTAGTCCTCAAGGTAGCTCATATTTCCTGTTCACTGCCACCTCTTATGTAGTAGTATAGTAACCCCTGGAAGAGGCAGATAGGAGCTGGAAACAAGTTGAAGACCTCACAATGTCATCAACCAGCTGTCTGATCTTCCAGCAGCTGGACTATGGTGTTAGTCATTTAGACCATTGCTTTAGACATAACCATATGGGGGGTGTACATCCTAGTGTTCTGAAGTAACTTAGGAATGAAGCTGCTGAGCAACTGTGTCATACCTTATGAAAATCGGCTATCCTGAAGGACTGAAAGGTAGCAAATGTACATACCTTTTTAAAAAGCCTGAAGGGGGATCATTTAGGGTCTTTTTGGGTTATCAGGAAATCTTTGTCAAAGTCACCCATGAGAGCCTGTTAAGGAAATTAAGGGTATGTCTACACTGCAGTTAAACAGCCACGATTGGCCTGTGTCCGCTGATGCAGGCCCAGGGCTGTTTAATTGCACTGTAGAAGTTTGGGCTCAGTTTGGAGCCTGGGTTATGGGGCCCCATAAGGGGGGAGTATCCTAGGGCTTGGGCCTGGGCTTGGGCCTGGGCCTGAGCCCAAATGTCTACACCACAATTAAACAGCCCCTTAGCCTGAGCCCTGTGAGCCCAAGTCATCCGCAAGTGTGTTGTTGCATTGTAGACAGACCCTACTTAATTACAGGCCGAGAGGTAAAGTGTACTGCTGTAGATTATAAACTTGTGAAGAGTGAGCAAATAGTATGAATAAATAGATTTCAACATAGCAAAAGATTTAAAAATGGAAATACCCAAAATTCGGTATTAGGACCAATGTTTAATGTATTTGCTGAAAGGAAGTAAAAAGTGAGATGACAAAACTTGCAGAGCACAGTTTAGCTATCTCAGGATGACATAAGAGTTGAGGGACTTAACAAGGGTAAGTAACTGGGCAGCATGATGGTAGATGAAAATCAGACAAGGTGTAATGCACATTGGAAGGAACTACTGATACTCATTGCTGGATTTTAAATTAACTAGTCTCTCAGGAAAAGGACCTCCCCATTATTGCAGGCTTGCAGGCAGCTAAACACAAGCTACTGCTGAATACTCAACAGCAAACACTAGTCAATGTAAAAAGAATGAGCATTATTGATTATATTATGGCATTGTATAATACGCCATCTTATGGAATGCTGTTTTCAGTCAGGCCACCCCTGTCTCTCAAAATGTATAGCACAAATAGGAGTTCAGGGATGGGAGCTACAAATAGCTACTGAGAACCTTGTGTGAGAAGACACTGACAAATTGCTTAGAGATGACATGACAAAAGTTTACAGTTTGAATAGTATAGTGAAGGTAAATTAAGTGCTCCAATTTACATTCAAACAATGGCACATCTGTAACATTGAAATGCAACAAAATTGAAATTGATAAAAAAAATACTCTTAGGCACAACACCTAATCAACCTGTGGAACTCAATACAAGAAGATATTTGAGGCCAAGAGTTTAGTAGGATTCAGAAAAGGATTAGACAAGTTATTTTCTGCAAGGGATTTAAATCCTCAGACATTGGGGCATAAGCCAGTCACTGATTTGGGAAGAAAATCCCTCTGCGCAGGTTTTTGTGTAACTGTCTTACACTTGGTTTTGAAACATCTGGTTATAGCCACTGTCAGAATAGTGGATTCAACATCTGGCCTGGTAGGGCAAATCTTAGGTAGTATTTACTTTAGACTTCTTTGCCACTGAAGCCATGCCTGTGAAATATCTTTTTAAAAAATCCACAATATAATCTAATGCAACTTTATTTAATACAGTTTTTTAAAGAGCTACACACCAAGCCACTTCAGACCATATACTGCCTGCTATCTTGTATTTAACTCTTAAAAAAAAACAATTTAAAAAGCCAATAGAAACATATATGGCTAATTAAAGCATTCGGTTAGAAAGGGTTTAAGGGGGTGGAGGGAGAAATTGCATCATAGGCAAGAAAGAAAAGATGGCAAATACATTAGTCTCGCAGTCTTAAAGTTCCACCTCTCCTGCTGGAAAGAATGTGGCATTCACCTTGCAGGTCAGAAAACTACCTACAAAACAAGTGAAATGTAAAGACTCCAGTGCTCAATGGGTTAGGTTTGCTGAGAGCTGGTATAAGGTCCTGAGGAGGCAAAGTAAAATAAACATTTAAAATAGGAACATGCTTGGCATGCAGCAAAAGGGAATGGAGAAGGTAGGTAGATATCTTAGAGCAGAAGGCAATAAAGAAGAGCATTCAAGAGAAGGGGCAAAAAGCTTCTGAAAACTTGATGCATGAAAGGTAGAAGGAGATTAAACACCTTACATCCCTCAGTCTTTAGGTGAAACAAGGTAGAATATATAGATAAAAAAATGAGAATGTGAGAGAGAGAGATGAAAATAATTTCAGTATCTAGAATAAACAGCATAGGTTAAAAAAAGACAGTTAAAATGTAGAATTTCAAGATGTACAGCCAATGTACAGCAATGGAAAAGACAAGGAGAACTGAATCCTTTTAAAATGAGTAGAAAAACTAAGTGATCATTTGAGTAAACTCTTTTGTGATTACCTATTTTGGTATAATTTCTCCTTATTCTATAAACTGAAACAGTCCTCTACCTTGTTTTGTCTCTTTCATATGCCTTTGTCCGCCATCTCCTTTTTCCTCAAGCCTTCGACATATTTTTGTTCATCCACATTACTGCTTTTATTACTCTGAACATATTTTTATTGCTGAATAGCATGCATAACCCTTGGGCATACATTAACTTGTCTTTCAGCCCTTCCCAGTTTCCTTTGCTGCCAGTTCCTCTGATGCTTTAAATCATTTGATATACCCTATCTTTTCCCATGTTCTTCTAAAGTTGGTGCGCTGAAGTTACCCTTCTTTTGCTAATTACTAAACCCATCTATGTAAGGGCCACTGTTGGTCGATCCCACACCTGTACATTTCCAGTCATTTTTCTTAAGTCACTCCAAACCAAGCCCAGAATTGTGCCTTGTATAGCTTCCTTTCCATACTGTTCTGTCTGTTCGCATCCAAACAGTTGCATTCTCCTTACTGCCTAGTCTCAAAGATTTGGTTTCTTTATATTGCTCCTTCTATTCAGTCCACAACATAGTGTTTCTTAGCACTTGATTTTTCCATTCCTATTTCTCCTTCCATAGTTGTGTAGAAGGGTATTTTTCATGGTATGTGGTTGTCACATTTTCTGTATGTACTTTGTCATGTGCTGCACTCATGCAGAATTGAGCATTTGGATTGACCTTTCTACTAGGATACCTGCCATCTGTCAAAGTGCTGCCTCTTGTACTCCCGTAGCCTATTTGCTACCCTGTTGTCTACCCCAGTGGTTATCAACCAGGGGTCTGGGGTCCCTGGGGGGCCATGAGCAGGTTTCAGAAGATCCTTCAAGCAGGGCCAGCGTTAGACTTGCTGGGGCCCAGGGCAGAAAGCCAAAGGTCCACCACATAGGGCTGAAGCCCGGGGCCCGAAGCCTTGCCACTTAGGGCTGAAGTCTGAGCAATGTAGTTTCACGGGGGCATCTGTGTCATGGGGTCCCAGGCAATTGACATGCTTGGTAACCCTTAACACCAGCCTTGTCTTTTATATGTAGAAAACCAGTTGCTGTGGCACAGGTGGGCCATGGAGTTTTATAGAACGTTGGTGGGAGGACCCTCAGAAAGAAAGGTTGAGAACCCCTGGTCTACCCTGTGCTCTTCAGACCTGCTCCTCTTATACACTTTGCCTCTTCTGCAAAACTGTCCTAAATGTTGGATAGCGTAGGAAAAAACGGGCTCCTGAGAACAGTAAAAATGCTTTCTGGATCCTCAAAGCATGGTCTTCCTTTTCCCTGTTTCTTAAGGTAACTTCACACCTGTTTTCTGCATATGTATATGACCAAAATGCAAGTTCTCTTCTTAACAAAATAATTGTATACACAATAAATATTGAGTTAAAGAGCTCCTTTGCTTATACAGTTGAGGCAAGGTGACCTAGTTCAATAACATAAATCACATACTAGAGACATGACACACCAATCTGTGAGTTAGTTAAAAGTACGGTCCACGAACAGTACACTGATTAGTTTCTTTCCCTCCCAGTTTCCCAGACAGATTTTCATGAACACTACAACAAACAGTTCTTCCTTAGCACATAACTATCCACATTCACCCAGTGTGAAATAGGGCTCTGATTAGTCTCATCGTGTAGTACTTCAAAGGTGACTGTTTACCTGAGACCATCTTATTTGAATTATTGAACAACTTAAACTCATGCTCATAAGACCCTGGATATGTTGCTTGGAAGGCAGTGTGACTTGAAGCAGCTTTTGAGGTTTCTATTTAGTGGGTGCAGGCTGGAAGCTTCCTGAAGAGCCAGGTTCCATTTCCTTTTGTCAGATATAAGGAAGTGACTTCATACTACTCTGGTTCTCCTGCCCAATGGGACAAAGATGGTACCTGCCTCTAGAAACAGATGGCCCTGCTGTTTTGCCTATGAGACAAGTAATACAGTATTTCCTTTTTGCTTTTTTTAATTACCAAAACAAATAAACCAGCCTGTTAGGTAATAGCAAAGAGAAAAAATTGTCTCCTTATTCAGGCACCTAACTGTGGCTAGCAGTTCTAGGACTGATGGGAGACCACTGGTAAGCAACCTGTTCTACTCACCATTGTGACCCAAGATCTCAATCTTGGGAATGCTTTGCATAACAACCAAAATTGCTTTTTCACCAGTCTGGGGTCTTGTAACTGAAATATTTCTGGTCTTTTCATAAGTTAAACTTTATTTTTAAAAGGTATTGTCATCAAAAATGTAGTCAGTTTAATATTGGATAGAGGCTTTGCATATTTTACTGAAATGTGGAGAATAAGACTTCACAAGAGTGAGAAATACAATTTCCATGAGCTGGAAAGGTAATATTTTTATTGGTAGAGAAATTGAATGGAGAAGAGAGAGGTCAATTTTAAAGGCTTTCATTTTATGTGATTACAGCTATGCTGCAAATGCCATTTCACTATAAGGAAGGACTTAAAAATGTACCTTTTTTTGATTTGTGCTGCAGGTCAGATTAACTAAAATGGTTATTGTCACCCTAGAAGTTCCTGACTGCTGCAAGACCAGACTTTAAAACCCACTTTTATTATTAAAAAGGCCAGCAGCAACAGACTATTTTGCAACTTGTGAGACGTTTTCACAGCAATTTGATCGTTGTGTACAGGATTTTAGAAATCTTTGTACTTTAATTCTTGGAGTGAAAGTAAAACTCAGAGGGAGGAAAATGTGCATGAACACTTTGTCGTTTGCTTCTGGTCCAAAGGCTGCCCCCTTTATGCTGTTTTGAGACCTAAATTTTGACATTGACAAAATCCTTATTCTTCATGGAGTGACATAATGGCAGCAGCATCTTCTATTTCAGTGGCTGAAGTGTAGGTCAGGATAGGAGAGGGAGCTTGCCAGTTTTGGTGGCTGTCATGTGGACATTATTGTGGTGATGCATCATCAATCATCCATCTCCTGGTAATGGGATCCAACAAGATGAAGAGATAATTTGAAAGGAGTTCATATCCTCCATAGCCTAGAAAACAATGTACATGTGTTCAGGGTATGGCGCTGAGTAAGGGCACATCCCTCATCTTAATTGAAATGGGATAGGAAAAGGATCTATTGATAGAAAAATAGAGGGTCCATGGAAAATATTTGAAATACTAAATGCAACTTCCTGCCTTTTAAAAGGTTTAAAGACACTTCAAAAGATTAGCATAATGTCTGTATTTTGAGAGGGGTCTGGGATGTGTTTAGAAGAGGTGGGAGGATAGGGAAGGTACTGGAGAAAGAGATTAGAGGGCATATCTTAAGAAGTGGGTTTGGGAGAAGAGTGTTAGCTGGGACACTGCCTCTTCCTCATTCAGAGATGTTGACTTCTAACCATTCCTAGTGGAAGTCTGGTAGTCCAAGAAACCCTTCAGCCAAACACCAACTCCTTCTGTAGCTTCCAAATAACCTACTTCTGAGTCTTCACCACCCAAAGGGAGTTCTTACTCTGCTTTATGCTGCACTGTAAACCCAGTTCCATTTCTCCCCTTCCTCCACTTTTCTGATAACTCAAGGATGTACTACAAAAATATCTGTTTGAAATGAAAAATTTAACTCAGATGTTTCTCTGACCACCTTGTTCCTGACCACTGTATCATAGGAATAATAAACTAGCGATTGTTCACTGGCATGTCTTGATACCATCTTCCTGTCTCATGAATCTCTCCTTCCCATTCTGCTTTCACTACTCTCTCAATACTCAGTCACAAGTATTGTACATTTATAAAAACTAAATACATTTCAATCAGATCTTTTTAATTGACTCACCAGTGTGTTGAGCTGGGCTGCTAGCATGGTACTCTTCATTATTTCCTTCAGTCCCTTACAAGGATTATGGGCATTTATACTGGAAGTTTACATTGGCATTGTATTTCACAATTGGTGTTTCTTTGTACTAGAGCACAACTTTCTCACCTCCAGAAAATAGCCGGAATGAGACTTGTTCTTCAAATCCTGGCCAAATTCTGCCTGGTTTTGTTGGTCCTATGGTGGAAGATGCGTTGTGGACAGAGTGCAGATGGATGAAGTGGCGGAAAGCATCCCCAACTCCCCTTTTCATAAATGGGGGCCCTGCAACAGTTGGCGTTAGAAAGTGGTGCTGGTAGAGGTTAGCTAGCCAAGGATGCATCAATTCACCATGTTAAAGAAATTCACCTTCTCCTGCTGGACCTGCTTCCCCTCCAACAATGGGTAGGCAATGATAGCAGCACCTTCCCTCCCTCTCAGGGAATTCCCAATCCCCACCAATCCAGAGTGGAGGGAGATTAGCTGGTGTAGGGAGGTGTGATTTTCACCCAAGCTGGCAAAAGAAGGTGTATCTGTCTCTTGGGATAATTGATAAATGTCTCTTCTAGACTCCATTAACTCTTTAATGGAATTACTTCCATGCACTGTACAGAATTCAGCAGCCTCTGTTTCCACCAGTAGCCAGTTGGGCGATCACATCACGTTTGACTGGCTCTCTATTAAATCAGTATCAATTTCAGTCATACTTCTTTGTGTCACTGGCTCTTGTTTTGTCATTACCATCGCTGCCTATCAAGGTAAAAGTTGGCAGGCCACTTATTTTGTCCAAATTTAATAATCTTAAATCTGTGAGAAGGGACAATACATTTTTCTGTTGCTGTGAAACCCATTTCCTGCTTGTCTTGTTGTCATCAGCTTATGTCCACTATTAATTGACTTCAAAACAAAAACACCTTGAAAATCTGGCCACTTATTGGAGAGCCTAACTATAGACTCAGGCTTTGATCCTGCAATGAGCTGTGCATGCGTGCACCCACACAAATCTCAATGTAGGGTCAGCATCTTAGACTCCCTGACTTTAGGCACCATCTTTGGAAATAATGTCCATCGCTTTTAATTGGCTATCTGTTGATTAAAGCAACTATATACTGGTCTATCTGCACTTACCTGTCTTTTTGCTGTATTGTAACAGCAAAAAAACTAAAAAACATGCTCTTGGAGCTTGTGAAGTACAGTGTGGCACCTCTGTATGAAAAACGCTGCTACAAAAATGTATTGATAGGAATGTCTGGTTAAAACAAGGGATATACAATTCTGTGAAATTCAGCTCAGATTATTGCCCACAAGTTTGGATGTTTTTGGAACATCCTAGATTTAGAAACTTGGGCTTGGAAATCGAACAGCTGACTGTCAAAGAACCTTGGCTTTTAATTGCTTCTAATGAATCCAGGAAGTGGTTAAACTTTTAATATTTTTCATTTTTATTTGAATTTTTTCGAATCTTGAGGTTTGGCTGAACTTCTAAGTGAAGGTTCAATTTAGTTACTTTGATCTAAATTGTTTTCTCCTCCCCAGCTTAGAGTAAGTTATTCTTGACTTCAGAAAGTATTTTCTACGTCTACCTCTTTATTTTTTTAAATTATGTTCTTTCCAAAACACACATCACAAATATTAAGTTTTTATGTAAGGCAGCTGTAGATAACTTAAGCAATTGAAAAACTTTACTGGTAACATACTCTCTTAAACACTCTTGAAAATGTTAGTCTACACTACTGAAAAATGGAAACAGAGCATGCAAAATGCAAGTTCTGATGAACAAACTATTACATATTTTTTATTTCTATTTTCTTAAATGTAAAGTGTAAGTGTGATATGGTAGCTAATGCTGTAGAAACATTGTTTAACTTCTCTGAGGAGATAAGGTGAGCTGTAAAAAATCTTTTTAAAATTTGGATTGGTCTCTTTGTATATTGTGTGAATGTCTTGGTTTTAAACTGTTTGTAACCTTAGTAACATTAGGAATGATGTCAAGCCTGTGTTTCGCTGGGGGAAGGGGTCTAATCATATTTGTTGCTCTTCCACCTTAAGTGCTGGGGCAGGAAGGTTGAATTTGTGACACATCACTTTTTTCAAAATGTCCATTAGGCACTGGAGGTGATAACCTACCAAGGGCTTTTAGGGGAGACAAGATTTAAGTTTTTTTATGTTAAACCAAAAAAAACAAAAAAACCCCAACCAACCAGGAAATGCATTTTAAACACAGCTTTCTGTCTTTGTACATAAAGAACTATAAGCCTAATTTCATCTTCGAGTACTGTCCCTATGGGTGCTCCACTTCAGGTGCTTATGCACCTCTCAAGCCCTTGATCCGCGATTTCTAGCTAGCAGTGCCCATGCCCTGCTCATGCACCCTCTGCTTCCTCATGGCAGACACTGAGTCTATACAGGGATGTGTCTGTGAACTGCCCTCAGTGTCTGACATACACAACACCTGAAGTATGCCTATCATTGGTACAGTTGTCTCCAGCCATGGCAATCTCGGCTACGGTGTCACTACTGGGGTCCTTTGTTGCCACAGGAGTTCTGATACTTGAGGGACCTCTGTGTTGAATTTGCTGGCCAGGTACCAAGCATGTCTCAGTACAGACATCTTGGTCTCTGAGTGGCCACTCCATGGCACACAACTCTCATCCATCCTCAATGACTGCCCCCGTATGGGACGATGTAGAGGAAGACTACTTCCAATTGGTCTCCTTGAG